GCCTTGCACAGAAGCAAAAAAATAAAAAATAAAAAAAAAAACACACACACACAAAAGTCTGGCTCCACTCAAGTTGATTTAAAACTTTTACACAATACCATTTATCAGATTTAACTCAGCAAGACATGACTTTAGAAACATTTCAGTCTATTTAAAGTGAGCAAAAGATWAATTTCAGCAAATAAGATCAGACCGAGTGGTGTGTGATTCGGGGCAGACCTCTGTGGGGTTTTCATGTGCTCCTTTTGTGTTATGATGTCAGTTCGTCATGTGACCACAAACTCACACTCAGACACAGGAAGTCACATGCCAGTCATCAGGGGGGCAGGTTTATTTTTAAAAGTGACACTTGAGGAGAGGGCAAACACCCTCCTCCTCGTAAGCTTTTGAAAAACAGTGAGTTGAACTTTCAAAACAAAGAAAAAAAATGATAATAAATGTTTGATATTCGTGAGTCTTTATGGGAAACTGAAGAGAAATGAGATCAAATCAAAACTTTTCCTGCAACTGTAATAAACTCAGTATTTTAAGGTTTCAGAAAATAAATGTTCTTTTAAACACAAATGTAAGCGTGTCTTTAGAAACACAAGTGTTTGTCGACCCTCTGGATGTTTTCTCGCTCTCGAATGCGAAAAGGCTAACGGTGTGACCTTTGACTGTGGTTTATTTAAAAAGAAATAAATAAATGTGTCCAAGGTTGGTTTCATGAAGTAAATCATTCACTGRTCACGTGAAAACTTACACAGAGAGGCTAAAATATGGCTGACCTTTTCTTCTTCTTTTTTTTCTTTTCTCTTTCTCTCAGAGGTGAAAAATGTGAACAGGTTCTACCCAAACAGGCTGACAGGAGAATCACAGTATGGCAATGAGACAGTAATGACGGTGCTGATATTACCCACTCCCTCTGTTTCCCGTCTGAGTGCAACACATTCCAGTAATGCTGCACTTTAGCCCCGGAGTCTGTGCAGTGACAGCTGCTCACCATTATGGCACTGCGTGAACTAATTTTAATGGCTGTCACCGGCAGCAGGACTAAATGCAGGACTGCCAGCGTAAACAAAACACGAAAAGCCAAGACGGATGGTCCTCTCAGCAGAGGGTAAATGACAGGACGGGATAAAACACCAGTTTGCTTTCTGGGATTAGTCCATCARTTCAAATATGGAACACAAACATTCAGATGATCAGCCAGCTTCAGGTTTGATTTACACAAAGTTCACAACCTAAGACCTTTCACACAAAGCTGATAACCTGCAGGGCTTTTTACATATTTTGTTTTGTTACAACTGCAYAACACAAAACATTTTAATGGAATTTTATGTGATAAACCAAAGTAAAGTTTAATTGTGGGCTGCTTTAAAGAGCACTAAATCCCACAGAGTAAAAACTTTGCAGAACCAACTTTCTTTTTGGTGTTTCTACCAGCTTTGAACATCTACAGACTGGAAAGATTCTTACTTGGATTTCGGTCTGGCCGGTTCGAACACTTTAATATGTTTTGATCTAACTCATTCCATGGCTCTGGCTGGATGAACCTCAGCTCAGTCCAAAGTATTTTGCAGCTTCTAACAGGTTTTCTTGCTGTGTTCAGCTCCATCCATTTTCCCATCAGCCCTGAGCAGCTTCTCTGTCCCTGCTGAAGAAAAGCCTCCATAAAAGGTCAGATTTGTGGAGCGCACAACTAATAATTGTTCTCTCACTTAAGCTGCAGCTCCTTCAGAGTCACCACGAGCYTCTGGGTTGCTCCTCAGATTAATACTCTCTGCTCCCTGCATGGAAAGTTGTGTCCTGGTTGGTTTGGARGCTTTGTTTTCAGATAATAAATTTAAACCCAGCTCCATAAGAGGCTCAAAGCTTAGTTCGGTGGTGTTCCTTGGTCTTCATGCTGTCTGATCAATAACGCTCTGTAATGAAGCTCTGAGGCCTTCAGAGAACGTCTGTATGTCATGCAAAATAGAGTGAAAACAAATGCAGGCCACAGTTTTTAGATTTTATTTGTAAAAGTTTAATAACCGTGAATCATTTTCATTCCTCTGTGTGGTTAAACTGTCGGTCTGTCACATAAACTCCCAGTGAAATATTTTGAGGTTTGTGTGGAATGAGACAAAATGTGCAAAAGTTCAAGGGCTTTGTATTAGATTTAAAAAGGGTAAGTTTTAAAACCTTCTTTATAAAGTGAATATATTAAAGTTTAATGTTTCAACTTGCAAACAACAGTTAAATGTTGCAGCTTAAAATTGGATCAGGGAAAAAATCTAATATGTATCACTGATTTCTTCAATCACCCTTGATGCCTAATGTTCATTCTTTAATAAACTTCAGTTTTCAAATAATAGTGAGAAAACAGCTTTCATAAAATGATTGAAATAAAGAATAAAGTAAAAGTAGTCTGTTCATCGCACCAGCCAATAACAGCACTAAAGATTTAGGACAAAAAAGCAGAGCAGAGACAATTTGGCACGTTTTACTTGGACAAACGAACGCTTGTTGGCTCTTCAACATAAAGTTTGTGCAAAATAAAATACCCTCTTTTCTCCCAGTGTTTCCTTTTGTTGATAATTAGAAGTGAGAAAGGTTAGGGGAAGAGGTGGTCTGAGCAAATTATATTAATTTAAATTTGAGCAATCTAAAACAAATTARCGTAAATGTGGGTAAAGCCATGTTGAATAAAACTGTAAATACAGGAAAAGTTGCATTGTCTAAAATAAATTACAATAAATGAGGCATTGTGTGCAAAAATGCTACTGAGTTTAAAAACTGTTAAGTATGAATTAAAGACTTCGCCCTAAAAAAGCAAGAAAAAACAGAAGCAAACTCTGCTAAAAAGCCGACAGTTGTTGCAAATTTATTATAACATCTGACCACATAAAATTCTATTTTATACATAATGTATTAACAAAAAGTGTCAGAACAATCACAAGGTCATGCACTCATTACTGCAAGTTTTCAATCACAAGAGCTGACTTAGAAATCAACCACAGTCCAGAGAAAAAGTGACAAAGATTTCCTTAATAAGAATGTGAGCCGTTTTAATAAATATTACATTGATAGCRGACATCTTTACAGAAAAAAATACTGAAGTATTCACCAATAAAAGCTAATTTCAAAGTAAGTCTTACACAGGTTAATGTTATTCACATTTCTATTACTTTTATCATTTCCAGTTGTGAAAGGCAAAAGAAACGTTGCAGTGAATGCAAACCTGAACACCGAACAAAGCATTTAATATCCCAAACAAACCAACATGTCCAGTTACAACTTTAACCTTTCCCTTTAAAAAAAAAAAGTGCAGTTAGTTACAGCCATTAGAATGCCCCGTGTATAAAACAAGTAAGGCAGCGTGGTTTATTTCCAAAACACYACAAAATAATACTCCAGTTATGAACAGGAAACATTTCCATAAATATAAACAGAAATGAAAAAAGGCTGGCTGTGGACGACTGCATGCAAAGACTTGGTGTCTGCACCTCTGTCTGGCACGCCAGCATCATGCAGCTAAGTGTGCACATTTAGTATCCAGTAAGGCAGTGTTTGTGTCATATAAAAAAAAGGCATTGTGTAAAAAAGGAAAGATGCATCAACACTTCTTGGTCATATGCTAAGTAAGCATCATGAATTGTTCTTAAGGCTAAACTCTGTTTTTGCATCAGTGTCTGGTTTTTATTTCCCGGCACAGCAGCAGCAGCAGCTGCAGCAGCTGCCCTCAGTGAGCTGAGACATGTTGGTTGGGCTGAAGAGGACCCAGAAATCCAAGCCTCTGCTTGTTCTTCCTCTGTTCTGTCATCTGRGGACGAAAGGGAAAGAAAACAAATCAGGCTGGAGTGGATTTTAATTTAGCAGGAAACAAGCGCTCGTGTTTGTTCGGTTACCGTTTCTAGTGGGCACTTTATCATGCAAAGCACACTATTCCCTCAGACTCGCACGTAATTACCACGTTCCAGAGGGGCGTCTGTTCGTTTGAACTTGACACGCAGGTAAAAGCGTGACTCAGTGAACACATTTATTTAGACTGATCAAAACGATTCACTGGGAAATTAATCAGTCCACTTTGAAAAGGTACTCATCGCAACGTGAGGAAACTTCCACACCAATATTYGGGTCATTAAAGCAGTTTTCATGTTTGCCAAGATGCTTTACTGTGGTGGCCATCTTAAAGGAGACATTTCCTGCTTTTAAATCCTTTTTCCTTATTTAAATCATTCAGTGGGGTCTCTATAAAGTGAAACTGCAATGCTTTGGTCTAAATTCCTCTTTATTGTAACTCCACAAGCCCCTCTTTCAACCCTTTTCTGAGGTGTAGCTCAGATAAACTCGTCTTGATGCTGTCCCTTTAAATCTAAAAGAGCCTCTTCACCCCGCCCCCTTAAGCTTCCAGAGCGGTCCATTCTAGGTTGATAGAGGGGTTTACAACTATATAGCAGTGCAGAAACTGTATTTATAAATGAATTAAAAGATGTCAACAATGGAAGACTTGTCCATCCGTCCTCACACGTTGGAGCCAGAGTTTGACCCAGAGCCAGAGGAGAATGAAGACCATTAAATTGTAGTTGGTGGTAAGTTTATACCTTATTTGGCATTTCCATTACAAACACTGATGTAATATTTCAGAAAACATCATWTAAAATAGAGAAAACTGAATTAGTTGAAAAATACGACTCAAACGCAGCACCACGAGAAACTAAATTTAAACTTTCTGCACTCCTGGAGACTCCAAGTGCACAATAAAACATATTTAATGGCCAAAAGAGTGGAGTTTGATAGGGCTCCTTTAAATCTGTTTAATTCCAAACATTAAATCAGCTTTTGACTGAATACATTTAATTTMATAAAACTTGTTGAWGCAAATCCAGTCTGTTCAGTGATTCTTGGGATATTTTGCGATCATTCTAAACAAATTAACACCCAAACTTGTGGAAAAAAACTTATTGCTCTGCTTCGCCTTTGGCGTCAGGCCATAAAACCAGGAATGGTATGGTTGCTCAAGGGCGCTTCGACAGCAGCAACTTGGTTATCAGAAGGGGCTCTATGAGGGGTCCCGAGCAGCAMGGAGCTGCTTCCGGCCTCACTGCTTTGCCGAGGTCAGCGGAGGATGTTGTTTTGTTTACTGGAGTGTGATCCTCCCTCAGCAGGAGCTGTTTTTGCACATCTGGCAGAAGGGGAACAAGGACGGGCCTGTGACTGGAATCACATGCAGAGGAGGCAGGTGATGGGAGTGATCGGTCACACTGTAGCAGTGGAACTAGTCATCCAAACAGCCAGAGGCTCACAGGCGGCTCTCAGTTGCGCTCGCTGCTTACGCAACAGTCACCTGTCGTGGTGCGTTCAGCAGCGGCCCTGGTCTGACAGATCCCATCGAGGTTACCAGGCTCCGAGCAGAGATTTATGACAAATAYACTGTTGCATCAGTTTGTGACCTTTTTGWTCTGCTGGTGTTTTGTTGTTAAAAAAAGGGCTCATTGTCAGGGAGCACACAGGGTTCAGCCCGCATGTGGTGTTAACTGCTGAATAAATACTATTAAAAACAAAATAAAATCAAAAGAGTTTTAGATTAGGATCATCTTAACGATGAAGTTGAAGTTGTTTTGGTCAAACCTTTGATGCCCGTGGAAGAAAAGTAGGTGGGGTGAACGAGTCTCAGGTTCTTAATATCTGAGAGAAGTTAATCAGTTGTAGATTTAATGATTACTTTCTGCAAGTTTCAATTTTTTGAGATATTTTGCTTACAGGAAGACACACACTCTCCTACTGCCGCAGKTAAATTGACATTGTACCTGTTCTTTGAGCTCAGCCAGCTGGCCTGAGAGCTGAGCTACCAGAGTGACCGTGCTCTCCAGTTTCTCCTGCAGGGATCGCATCTCGTTCTGCTCGCCGTCGCCCTCGCTGCTCACCAGAGACATGGCTCTCATACGAGGGAACCACTCCAAGTTCTTCTCCTGCAGACAAGCAAGGTCAGACATGAGAGTCAGGGAGGAGAGGTGAAAGAAATTAAAAAGGAAGGAACAACAACTAAAAAAAATAGCATATGGGCTGGATAAATGAGCGTCAACAACTGTGATGCTGAAAGATTTGCACAGACATGAAGGGAGCGCTGCGGCGCTAAAACCATCCTGTGGGAGAAGAGCAAACAGAGAGGTGGCGGCGAGCGGAGAGACGGGCGTGAAGGTTTAACATTAATCATCTCATCAGTATGGAGGCTGCTCTCTGTTGTGTGCTCGACGGCGGATGAATTTTTACCGCCGCTCCGCCGTCTCCTGGTTACTGCACATCACAGTAATACACCAAATGAACAGTAACTGGCATTTCAATCCTCACCCACTCCATAAACGCATTGTTGACGAGCGYATGAGTCACTGTCACCCATCAGCGGCACGACCGGATTTATAGTGTTGCTTATAGGGGATGTGGTCACGTGTGAGACGTTTACTTAATTATCCACAAACAAAAGTGCTGTGAACAGAAGCAAACATCTGCAGCAACACTTCAAAAAAAAAAAAACCTCAATAAAAAATAAAAAAACAGAGCAAAATAAACTTATAGAATTATGTAACGGGCTTATGTGCGTCTGTGTTTGCACACGTGTGGGTGTGTGTAATGTTGGCGAGCATCTGCATGGAAAGCGAAAATGTGTTTTACAACTTGTGTACTCTTGTGCAAAGCGAGATAGGTTTCACAGAGACGGGCTGCCATCAGCCGATCTTATGTAATATTCCTTTGTCGGTTCTTCTGATAAAAAAATCATTTACAAGGTGCTGATAGCGCGATTTGACTGGCACCACATTAGGTCCACTGGGAGCAGCGGAGAGCGAGGTGTGCTTCCCACCTACTCTTATATAAGAATAGACTGCGGGCGATGGATCGAATGATGAAGAGCGTGAGACGATGAGGAGGAAAGGTGAAGGCAGTTCGGTCTGACGGAGGAGGAGGATGTGTCTGCCGTTTGTTTTCGCTCCTCTGATTATTGGTGTTTCTCTCGATAATTGCTCTGACCTAATATGGGCATGCCTTCACTCATTCATCAAAAAAACATGAAATAATTAAAGCAAATTGTGAAATTTTATCATAAAACTAATTAGAATCAAACGAGCAATCACTGTTTTATTGTGAAACTGAATTCAAAACTTGGATAAACGGTTTATATTTGCAGTCTTACTTGGATTTGAAGAGAGCAGGACGTTACTGTAAAGTTAGTAAATCTGAGTTAAAAACAAAAATTAAAGTAGAATTCTGTGGATGAACGCATATGACCCCTCCTCTCCACCCAGCCTGAACATCAGTTTTAATTAAAGACAACAGATCTATCCTTTTCAGTCATCTAAGTATTAAACAGGTCSGTCATTTATTGACTGTTTTTTAAAAGCTATTTTCAGTCTTTTTGACAACAGCATGAATAGCCTTTTTATAAAGATGTTGCCCAAAAATGCAGGGCTAATTAGGGCCTCGGGCATAGAGGGGATAATAAGAAAATAACTTTTTTTTTTATGATTTAAAAAAATGAAAAAGCACAATGCCAGCTCTGTGAGGTCAGAAACATCCTTGGAGCAGAGAGCCCTTCGATGCTCGACTCAAATCATCCAGAGCCGATTGATTAAAATCTCACAGATGAGATTATTCTTCTTGCATGAAGTCACTTGTGATGCTTGGGGAGCTGCTGCCTTAAAAAAGTTCAACTGTGACTGCAGAATCTGAACAATCCCACTAATCTCCTGCTGCTCGTCACTGGACTGGACTCTGCTCWCCTGTCTGAATGAGTCAGGCTTCAGTGTTTCTTCATTGATCACATCACTGAGCAGGAATTTACAGACACTTATTCTCCWGCTTCTCAGTCATTGCTTAAAATAACTCACTTGTTGCACCTCTTCAATAACGGCCGACTTTACTGGACTGTTTTCACTACAGACACAATCTGCTAAAATAACCTAAAACTTCCAGCTTGGATGAGATAAATATACAAGACAACTTCCTACTGTGAGCTTTTTAAGGTTGTGATTAAATTTCAACTAAAGAAGATCGTTAATTCAGAAAACTTAGCCAATAATAAACATGCAACTTTTATTTTAAAATAATCTTTCAGGATGTTTAGATTTTAGCACAAGCAGCACAAATGAACCCAAACTAAGATGCACTTGCAGAACATTTAGATCTACTTTAGAGCTGCTTTTGATTCCCTCAAGTATAATATTCTCTTACAGAGGCTTAAAACCTTTTAAGCCCTGTTGGGCCCGGTACAGGGCCAACAAGAGAACTGAAAAAAATCTTCTAAAATCTTGTGGGCTTAAAGGGTTAAACTGTTGTTTGTAGATGATTGAAAAAACAACAAGCCAGAATAATTTTTTTTATCTGATTACCCTGTTTGTGTGTATAATGAATCTTACTCAGCAACTTGTCTTGGGAGTTCCACAGGGTTGTGTTTTCGGACTCATAATTTTCATGTAATATTTTTCTTAATATTTCTCATTCAATCAGCATTTTGATGAACTCTAATTTTTTCTCTTTACAAACTTTTTAAAGAATTTCAAAACTATAACATTGTTTGCTTCAGATAATTTAACTTTGAGTGCTGCAAAACAAAAAGAGAAACAGGACTGAACAATGTCTCCCAATGTGAAAATGTATACAGCCGGTAAAATAAGTATTGAACATGTCAACATTTTTTTCAGTAAATATATTACTAGAGGTGCTAATGACATGAAATTTTCACCAGATGT